GGCAAAAGCCCGATTGAAAAAAGGAGGCATAAGAGGCTAAACTGAAGAAAGAAAAGGAAAAAGAAAAACATGGGACAAACACTGCAAAGTAGACAAAAGTCCCGACGAGAACTTACCGACGACACTGAATTTTCATAAAAAGTTACATTTTTTATGAAAAATCCGTGTTGTTGGTAATATCCATCGTTTTACTGACCACGTTAATAAAACATTAGTTTTGTCATCACAATTCCTAGAAATTGGGATTTTCATGTGGAATGGCGAGATTCCAATTTTTCTTTGAGCTCTCTTTTTTTCATTTTGGATCTCGGGGTCCCGACCGAAAGTGAAATTTTTAATTGTTTCCCTTTTTCTATTTCAATAGTCGTGTGGACTCCCTAAAAAGCCAAAAGAAGGAGCAAGATTGAATTTTCCTTCATTTCATCCCTCCTCATATCTCTCCTCTGTCTCTCTATTTGATATCTTCTTTGTTCTCTTTTCATCCCTAGGAACCCAACCAAATCCATGCTCCCCTCTCCATCTTTCCTCTCTCAATCTTCCTTCACCCCTCTCCTTAACTGAGACTAGCAAAAGGAATAAGAAAATGGTCGATCTCATCTCTTTTGAAAAAAGTGACGTCAAGGACAATGAGGATAGCACGTGACATTGTTGATCATGGCGATGTGATAACATGTAAATTATACATGTTTTTAGATTCATTTTAAGCCCCTTTGCTTGGTCATTCCATCAATATTTACGTGTTTTGGCCAGTTTTATGCTTGTTTTGTAGTTTTGGTATGTTTCAGGTCATGACGAGTGAATTTTTGACGAAATTTGTATAAGAAAGACACTAAAGGATGAAAGAGGACAATATGATGTGACCAGAGTACGTAACATTCATTCTCTTTAAGGATTTTCGAAGCTTCTCTCCAACTTGAATAACTCAAAATAAAAAGTATAGATTATGAAACAACTAGATGCGTTCTCTAGTTGATAAGAGACACGTGAAACTACTGGAGACTCTCGACAGAAGCTTGCACAAAATAAACTCGTCTGTACTGAACTTGAAACTTGACTTTATTGATTGAAAACTTGATGAATTACAATGTGAAATTCGGCCATTATTTATGGAGTCTCTAACACTAATCCAAAACATAAAACTAAAGCAAACAAATGACTAAATCCTATACCTAAAAGGAAAAACTAATCATTAACAAACAAGTAAAGACTAAGTCAACAACTCTCCTAGAATCTAGCCTTCAAATCTGCCGTCTCCCATGAGTTCACACATATGGTTCCTTTCACACCATGGGAGATCTTCATTCCTTCTAGGCCGAATCTTTTCTCCTTCTTCCAAGCCCATCCTTCCTTCATTTTGATCTATAAATTGTCATGATGTGATGGGCTTACCAATATGTTGGTCCATGACCATTGAGCAAAATGACGATCCAAATAACCAACAAACGCTTACCTTAACCTCTAAGCTTGTAGCCATGTAATTAGAGCTTCATGTGATGTCGTGGACTTAGCTTTGATAACCTCATCAATCCCTCCCTCCTGAAAAGGATTTTACCTCAAACTCGAATTAGTCCTCCAAATATGGTGCAATATCAGAAACATTGAAGGTTGCACTTATCCCATATTCTCTTTGGCAGGTCGATTTCGTAGGCATTACTTCCAACCTTTGAAATTACTTGGAAGGGACCTTCACTTCTAGGGAGTAGCTTGGATCTCCTTTGGTAAGGAAACCTTTCTTCCTCATGTGCACCCACAACCAATCCCCAGCTTCACTTGATTGAGGCTTTCTGCACTTGTTGATGTTCTTCATAATTTGTTATGTTCTTCTCTCGATATTCAACCTCGTCGTCTCATGGAGATTCTTTGCAAACTCGTCCTTCTTGACTCCATCCATGTTAACTTGCTCCTTCAATGGTAAAGGTATCAAATCCAAGGGTGTAAGTGGATTGAACCCATACACAGGCTCAAAAGGTGAGTGTTTAGTGGTTGAATGCACAACTCTATTGTAAGCAAACTCAACGTGTGGTATGCAGACTTCCCAAGTTTTGATGTTGCTCTTAATCATGGCTCGCAGGAATTGGGAAAGAGTACGATTCACCAATTGAGTTTGTTCATCCTTTTGAGTATGACAAGTCGTTGAAAACAAAAGCTTCGTGCCTAGTTTGCTCCACCATGTCTTCAAGAAATAACTTAAGAACTTGGCATCTTGATCATACACAATGGTACGCGACATACCATGCAGTCTAGGGGTGGGCATTCGGTCGATCGGTTTCGATAGAACCAAAATTATGAATACCGGGTCCCCGAATTCTCCAAAACCTCAAACTGAATCCGAACCGAATTATAATTCGGTTCGTTTTTTTCACACAAAACCGAATTTGTGAGGATACTTGTATCTTCTCACTTTTAAATTATTTTTACCCCTAATATAAATAATAAATATGCAATTATATGCATCATCAATGATAAAATCAAACTTTTCAACACATAATTCATAAATCATTTCAAATATTTAAGTCTAGAAACAACTGTAAACATAAAAATCCACCATTTGGAGCTTGCAATTATTGTATTTCGGTTTTTCCGGTCGGAAATTTGGTTCGGTTGAAAGAACCATGGTTTCCGAAATATCCATATTTCCCTTTCGAATTTCGAACCGAATAGCATTATTTCGATTTCGGTTTAGTTTAATTCCGTTTCGGTTCGGGTTTACCGAACCGGTTGCCCACCCCTAATGCAGTCTCACGATCTCCTTGAAGAATAGATATGCTACATTAATCGCATCATCAATTTTATGGCAGAGAATAAAGTGTGCCATCTTTGCCAAACGATCCACTACCACAAAAATTGAATCTCGACCTCTTCTTGTCCTCGGCAATCCTAGCACAAAATCCATCAAAATGTCAACCCATTGGTGCGTGTACCACCCAGATGGTTGCACCTTTGACTTCGCGTGTTTGCATTTCACGCATCTAGCACATAAGTTCCCCACGTCACCTTTCATGTGAGGTCAATAGAAGTGCTCTTGCAAACAACTCAAGGTCTTGGCTACACCAAAGTGAGCCATCAATCCTCCTCCGTGAGCTTCCATCAACAAAAGCTCTAGAAGTGATGTCCTTGGTATGCACAATTAATTTCCACGAAAGAGATAACCATCACTCCTATAGAACTTTCCTTCCCCATGTTTCTCACAAGCATTGTAAATCTCTCTAAAGTCCAAATCTCCTTCATAATCACCCTTGATTTGCTCGAACATAAGGTACTTACCATCCATAATGGGGATCGAAGTGTATCTCCTAGACAATGCATCCACAACCACATTCTTTTTACCCTGTTTGTACTTGATCACATAGGGAAGCGACTCAATGAACTCCATCCAACGAGCATGCCTCTTGTTTAACTTGTGTTGGGCCTTCAAGTACTCAACAGACTCATGATCAGTGTGAATCACGAATTCCTACGGATTCTTCCAATCCCATCATTCCTTCATTTTAATCCACAAATTGTAGCAATGTGTTGGTCTTCCCAATATGTTGGTCTACGACCATTTGAGCAAAGTGACGATTCAAATAACTAGCAAACTTTTCTCTTAACCTCTTAGCTTGTAGTCGTGTAATTGGACCTTCATGTGAGGTCATGAACTTAGATTTCATGACCTCATCACAAGAGTACTAGTGTTTGGGATCAAATTTGGACTAATTCGGAGTTCAGACGAGGGAGAAAAGACAAGAACAAAACGAAGGAATCGGATGCCGAATAACTCATGGGTAGACTCACGCCCGTGAGCTAGACTGGGAAAATTACCATTCAATTCCTCGAGATAATTCATTGCCTAGCGAGTATCACGACCGTCAGCAGGGCCGTGCGCATCCCACAACCATGACTTTACGCATGAACAACTACAGACTCACCCCAAAGCGGCACAACATTCCTATTTCACTCGGGCAAGGACCCCATTCACGATTAGGCATCTATCTTTACTATTTAAAGTGTTTTAAAACTAATTGACAGGGGACTTCAGCCACTTTTTACCCTAAACCTAAAACACGAGTTAGAGAGGAGAAAAGAAGAATTTTTCAGCAGCTTAACCCTAGAGGAGTGGATTGGGAGCGATCGATCAAGTCCCTCATGATGGAAATCAATTATCCTTCCTCTCCGTTGTCCTTTCTTCATTCCCCATGAACTTATCTCTCTTGTTGTTTGGTGGAGATGAACCCTAACTTTGTGATTGTGAATTGATTGGATTTTATATGGATGTGATGTTTATTATCCTATGATTTGTCTCTATTTTATCTTCTGAGATTTCAATTGAAGTCGACCTCTTGATTACTTGTATGTTTCATGTGTCTGACGAGTGGGAAATCCGCATATGCATGATATAACACCTTAGAAGAGGCCTTGAACTACTACAATATGGAGGGAGATGGACTTCTGGATTAGGATGAAACCTAATAGAGGGGATTCAAAGGTCGATTAATGCGTTAGTAATTGAATCTAGGTGAAAGAGAATAACACATCTAGAGTTAATCGACTAATATAGTATTAATATGAGATTTGGGAATTCCTACGATCTGGGAATAGTAAATCACATCTATATTGTGTTTGGTTGATTCTCGATAACTAGATAGGGGATTCAAATCTAAACAACTCTCTATCTGGTGGGTTTTATTGTTGTCGGGATTTTGTGCTTTAGTAGTAAATCTTAATTAAAACGAAACAGTAAAAGAATCGGTTAGATAATAAGAAATATAGCTCATACTATTCGTCATCGTCCCTGGAGCTACGACCATGATTGCCCACTGTATTGCTTCTATGACAGGTTCACTTGCCTTAGTTAGTCTCACTAGGAAAAAGGCGATCATAACGACAACGAAAAAAGGTCATAGATAAATGTTTGTGTTACATGTTTGATTTTTTTTTTTGTATTTGGGGTTCCTGGTCCTCTTTCCTCACGTTTTATTTTTATTTTTTGCAAAGGAAGGGAGATGGGGAAGAAAAGCTGGTCAGCGACCGTCGACATGGAAAACGTATATGTTTTTTTCGTTGAGATAGAAAGATCTCCTTATTTCTTCACCGCGGATTCTTGCGTCATTTTCTTGAAAAGATATTCTATCACCGTGGGACACTTTCAAATGAGTAATGCTTACCATTCCATTATTCACACAAACCCTTCGATGACTTATCGGCTGCCTTGCTTGAGGAATAGTTTCACAAAAATGGAGACGAACCAGAATAACGTCCAATCTTCTTTCTGGATTGAGTAGAAAAGGGATATATGAAGTTCGTTCTTTTCCTCTGTGCATCTCTGTAATGGGTAAATCCCCATGAAAAAGGGGCAACTTTCGTGTAGTTTGTGATTGGATGTAACTGTTAAGATTTTCTCTCGGATAAATCTTTCTCTTCATATCTTCCTTCTTCTTCCTCAATCTTCGGAGAATGCGGCGTTGTATTATTGTAAGTTCTCTCTTCCGAACATTTCCTGAAAGTAGACGACAAGTTTTAAATCTTAATGCAGACATGGCACATCTCTAAGAATCTCTCTTTTCACCACATTGGGGCTATGGGAATCGAACCCAATTCTTCCGCGACCCCTCCACGAATAACGAGAAAACTTTTATCTTATCTAAGATAATTTCTGCTTCGCAGCGGCTGTACGACATGAGTTTCAGCATACCAAATAAAGGTCAAACCCCGCTGAAGCACTGGAAAAATGTTGACCACGATTTATAGCGCTTTTCAAAAACCATTTGATTGCAACTCCTTGAGTGGACAGGTAAAACAGTACGCCCACTAGATCCTTCATACTATTACTAAAGTACACTCACCCAATCGTCGAAAGTGGAGTGGAATCAATCAACTGGCATACCGTCAAATGACGCCTGCAATCCTTCCCTCACCAGTCCCACGTGCTCTTTGATGCCGAAAATCGGATTCTAATTAAAGTCTTACTAGCATTGGCGGCTTAAGTGGAAAACAGGTCCTATCCTATATAATATATAAGATTAGGAAGCATCCGACTTCTTTTTCATAGTGCACATTTTAAAGAGTGCCAATTGATCCAGAGAAGGGGCTGTTCTCGCTGTGAACGAATGGGCTCTTAGTACTAATCCTAATGCAAGAAGGGGAAGGTTCATCTTCTAAATAGAAACCCGGGCATCTAAAATAGTAAATATCGAATACAAGCTGAGAGGGGGAAGGCTTCCTGCGTAGGCAGATTAGAGCAATCCAATTTATTCCAAAAATAGGACTTTACTTTTATTTCCTCCTGCTCGAGGATGATGGATCTGGGGCGCTACTCCCATATGTACCTTTCGACCTGAAGGACGATGGGGACATGGCTCCTTTCTCGAATTTCTCTTCTAGTCGGGGTCTTTGTTCGGCCTGCCCGCCCGCGTTAAACAAAGAGCTACTTCGTTCCTCAATTGTTTGGTCAAAAGGGGTCCTTAACCTAAAAGGCTGGTTCCCCCTAGCTCTTGCGCCCCCTCCCACCTGAGAAGAATAGGGCTGTGATCTGAGTTTATCCTAGGGAAGTGTACAACAACCGCCTCTGCAAACCTCGTGCTCCACTCTGCGTTGGCTAGGGCTCTGCCCAGACGTTCCCAGATAGATAGCCTGGCTACCCTTTCTCTTGTTCCACCAAGTGAACCGTGCCCCTGAGAACCCCAAGTCCAATAGCCCGCAAGCTTGATAACATTCTACGAAATGCAGGCACCGCTTTGTAGTCGTCCCCCCAACTTCGCATTTTCAGAAGCCACGTCATTCAAATCTCCAATCACCGCCCAAGGCATGGTATTCTCCTCTGCGAAGTGCCTCAAACTGTGCCATAGCTGGTCCCTCGCAGCAATACGATGGCTAGCATACACACAACTAAAAACCTACTCCGAAACACCTCGTTTGCAAATAACTGCGTGGATGGCCTGGCCACTTGTTAGAATCACCTCTAGTTCCACTCGACTCGAATGCCACAGTAGCCAGAGTCCCCCCGAAAACCCCAGGGGGTCTACTCTACAGATGCCATCGAACGAAACCCAATTTTTGGGGGATCACCTCCGCCTTCTTCCCTCCTATCCTTGGACAGACCTCTGGATTTGCTTTGTCCCTTCAAGGAATTAAAAACCTCACTGGTACAGAGATTTTTCAGCGCCTTCTAACAACCCTTTTTTTATTTTAACGAAGCCACCACGGCCAGGATTAAGGTCGTACTCGAACATTATCTCATTACAATAGATCTTCCCTACGGTGGGGTTATCGAAAAGACAAATCCCAAGTACAGTTCTTAACTTTATTCGGCCAATATGCTCACAAGGCAGTTGGGTTGGGATTTACCCGAGCTATCCTTTTTCTTTATTTTGAGCAGAGTTTCTTCTAACAAAGATGGGATCAAGTAAGGACGCAACTACAACTGATTCACAAAAGCCAGGATGATTTCCAGCTCCATTCCCTCCATCACTTCAGCTTCAGGTCGACAAAGGAGGATTTCATTGCTTGATCATTCAGATCATGCGCTACCTGCTCTTTTCTCTGGTTTAACAAAATAGAGTAGGTTTCCCAGTAAAAATCTGAGCTCACTAGGTGCTTTCGGGCTTTGATCTCCCTTCTGATCTTTTTTTTTCCCAGTTTGGTAAAAAAAAGTGTGCTTTTTCCATCTCTTGCTTAGCTTGGGTCTGCGCTTAATGGCTGGCTCTCCTCAGTACCAAATGCTTAAGGTGGATAGTCTTTGCGAGCAAGGTCTGAGGTAGTCAATGGCCTTTTCTTTCCTTCCAACTTCAAAGAGTCATCGTCTTTTGCCATAACGTCCCAAAATAAGGAAATGTCGTCGGTGGTGAACACGAAAAGCAAGAGCAGCCCACCGATATAATAAGAGGCAACAAGACAAGAGCAGACTTAAGAAAGATCAGATCAAGCTTGAGGTTACGCAGTAGCTCTCCCGATAGGGGGAGGTTGGAATATATTCGACCAAAGGAACGAAGTTGCTCAACTGAAAGGGAGAATCTCTGAACCTGAAGGGCGAAGGTTTAGAATATGTGAGCCCAAAGGGTGAAGGTTTGGAATACATGAGTCCGAAGGGCGAAGGAACGAAGTTGCTCGACTGAAAGGAGAGGGAGGTAATATATGAGCCTGAAGGGCAAAGTTTTAGAATATATGAGCCCAAAGAGGGAAGGGAGAAGGGAGCGGAGGGAAGGCCGCTTAGCAGTTGAAAGGCCGACAAGACAGTAAGTGCGGTTACTCCAAAAAACAAATGCTAAGAATGCTTATTTCTTGTTCACAAATGGACTTTTCTTGGGATGACTGATTTATTGTAATGGGAATGAGTGGCCCCTTACCGTAAATAAGCGAGCACAATAGAGCTTACAGTTCTCGTCTATCTTTGCTTGATCACTGTCAGTCTTAACTCTATATTTTCAGTTAGAAAAAATATTAAGTCCATCATTCTGTAGTGGTATAGTCTCACCAGCCTGTAGAATAGTCTAGTCGTGGGTGAGTAGAGTCTGTGCTTTCTTTGGTGGGCACCAGGAACACAAAAAGAAGTTGCTCCGTCTTTATTCTAGGCGCACACAATCAGCTCACTCAGGAAGAGCACAACTCTTACTAGCGAAGCCAGGCAATCAGAAAGGAAGGGCATTAGAGGTAAGGCGATTTCTTGGTAATGGTTGGTAATCAAAAGATCTTTTTAAATTTTCATTAGTTTTCATGGATAACATTGATCTACAATCTTTTCTCTGGTTAACCAATTAGGAAAAACCAGCTTCTACCCACTCAAGTAAGGAGAGAATACCCCCCCCCCCCACATCCCCCTTGGCTTTGATAGGCTCAACATGGTACTATGGTTCGTTAGACCGACTTGACATGGTTCACGATGTTCCTATGCTCTTTTGGGTTGTTCTAGTTAAACTATAGTCTATGATTGCTCTCCTTAAGACCCAACCGGAAGGTTCGTTCGAGAGGAACGAAGTCACTCGACCGATAGGGAGAGGTTAGATCTCGGTTGAAAGGAGAGGTTAGAGCTCAACCAATGGGGAAAGGGGAGAGGATTTAACTTCATTTTCATCCGAAAGCATTATGTCCGAGCTGGCTCTTGCCAAGTAAATCGATACATTTTTATCTTCCCGACGATTTTTGTTTCCTTGCCTCGGTGTCTTCTACGTTAATACGCCATGCTACGATCAATATCAAAGCTAAGCACTCCTAAGTTCGAAATGAAGGCGTAAGGGTTAGGAGAAGAAAGTGCATTGCGTGATTCGTAAAGCTGCCGGGTGCTTGGAGTGCGCATTCAAAGCAATCTATCCGGATGATCCTTTTTGTAAGTTTTTGCCTATGCTTGTCCCTCTCAAACTAATAATGTCGGGTCTTATCTCTACCACGAAGAATGCTTTTAAGATACTTTAGTGGTCTAATAGCTTAGTATTTAGATCTTTCATCCTAGCTAGCTTATATACTGACAAGTTTCTTACTTGGCTTGAAGGGGGGAGAGCTTCTACCTGGCCATTGCTGTCTCTTGGTGCTGGTCTATTCGGAAATTGGATATTTCGCCTGCCTTCCTCCACGGTGAGCTCAAGGAAACTGTCTTCATGGTTCAACCCCCAAGATTTGTGGACTCTAATTTCCCAAATCATGTATGCAAGCTTCGACGCTCACTCTATGGTTTGAAACAGGCTCCGCGGGAATGGTTTGCGTGTCTCCATGATGCCTTACTTATGATTTTCTTGGTTCTAAACCCGACAACTCTCTCTTTTATTATCATCATAATCGGGTCATGCTCTTTTTCCTGGTCTACTTTGATGACATCTTAATCATAGGCAATGACTCTTAAGCTTTGCATCAACTTATTCAATACTTGCAAACTCACTTCGCGATACATGGTGGCATTTACTTATTATCTGGGTATTGAAGTTGCGACAACGTCCACCGACCTCCGTCTTTCACAACACAATTACATTCATGACCTCCTTTACAAAGCTAGCATGTCCTCCTGCAAACTGCTAGCTACTCTTGTTTCCGCTGATAAGTCAACTCTTGAGCCCTCCTTATTGTTCAATTAGATCTCTCGCAAAAGAGTCGGTTTTCAAAGAGGCCATTCAAGATTCCCCACTTTCTTATTCACACGAACTGACCGAAGAAGACGAAGATGAAACAAATCAAAGATAACAACAATGTTATTATATTGCGTACCCTCACTTGAAAGAAAACCTTTCCCAAACTCTGATCTCTGTTAAAAAGTGGGTTACATTTCAATGGTTGATTGTTGAGCCGCCAATGGATCCACATGATGATGGATGGAGTGCGAATCACTTGACTCCTATTCCGCCTTCTTAACTATGTGGAGTCCAAGGGAAAGGAGAAATAGAGAACATGGCAATTGATCATTGATGAAGTTGGTACTCTTCTCACATCTGAAAAATTATTCAGAACTTCTTTGTCGAGTAAAAGCACAAGCACTTCGTTAAACCAAAAAATCTCGGGGATGGATGTATAACATAGATTGATATTTACACGGGGTTCCCCCTCTTGAACTTTAATT